TCTGCCAGTACAAAAATTCAACTTTTTCATTTAACTTTTTCATTCTCGTTTATTAGAGTCTTTTGGTACATTGACATTTTTTTATGGTAACGTGAACGGGGACATTTTCTTAGAGTTCTTAACAGATCACTTGCCATTGCTGCTGGAGAATCTTGATTTACTAACAAGGCAGAGAATGTGGATCCAACTCGATGGGGCGCCACCACACTATGCAATGGTTGTCAGGAGATACCTCAACCAACAGTTCCATAATAAGTGGATCGGACGGGGAGAGCCAGTAGCGTGGCCTCCACGATCACCGGATTTAATATCACCTGATTTCTTTTTGTGGGGATACCTGAAGGATGCAGTCTTCAAGACCCAATCAACAACGAAGGAAGATATGATGGACCGAATCCGATTTGCTTGTCGGAACATATCGCGAGTGGTTTTAATGAAAATTGTGACCTCCGCTACAAGTCTTACACAATTAAAGTGAGAAAGATGCTTTCGGAAGCCGCTAGGACAAAGTGAGTTGAACGCTGTAAGCTGCTTTTGTGTTCCTTAAGAAACAATGCTGCCGGACGACTCAAGTTTTTTTCTGATGAGAAAATTTTTACTGTGGATGCGAAAATCAATCGAAGGAATGACCGCTGCCTCGCCCACGACCCTGAAGATGTCCCCATTGTTGCAAGAACGAAATTTCCCGCACGCGAATGTTCACGTGCTAGGTGTTGTATCCAGTGAGGGTGATGTCATGTTACCGCATTTCTTTAACAAAGGGAAAAATGTCACAAAAGAAGTTTATTTGCGTGTTCTGACAAATGTAGTGAAGCCGTGGATGGAAACTGTGTCGTCTGGAAAGCCGTGTGTTTTCCAGCAGGACGGTGCGCCCGCCCACACCAGTCATTTGATGCAAAATTAGTTGTCGGACAACGTCGACATGTTTTGATCGAAAGAATTCTAGCCTCCTAACAGCCCAGATTTGAATCCTTTGGACTTCTATGTATGGAGCGTAGTTGAAAGGGTCACGAACAAGTCCAGACATCCAAACGTCGCATCATTGAAAGCCGCTATTGAAGTGGCATTCACCGATATGGACCGTGACACATTATAGCGCGCCTGCGCACGCTTCAGACCGAGAATGGAGGCGGTCATTCAAGCAAGCGGG